TGCTACTGCTGCTGGACACTTGGCACAGGGGGTGCCAGTGGGAGGGGAGGCTCAGGCCTGTGCCAGAGGGGATTTCAGTTCCAAGCCCTTCATGTCCTTGGCCACTGCAGGGGCCAAGCAGACACCAGATGGAGGCAGCCTAAGAAATGGCACAGTGATCCTCTTAGCTCTGTGCTGGTGCCAATTTGAAAAGCTAAACCAGATGCTTCACTGCGAGACAGCCCTGCCCAGGGCCACTGGTGCCATCAACCATCTGACTGCTCTGCAACCCAGGGAGCAACCAAATAACTGTTTGAACTCTCAGTCTCCCAACTCCACCTTTCCCCACTTCTGAGCCTGTCTCTGGGCCTGTGTTGTCAGCTGGGGTCAGTCCAGGGCTGGAGACTCTGGGAAAAAACGAGGATCAGACTGTTGGTGTGCCTGGAAACTGCCAGTGATGGGGAGATTTCATTGTCTGGGAGGAAATCTGCAGCTGACATGTGAGAGAGAGACTGAAAAGGAATAGTAAAGCAGGTTGTGAGAATGGTGCCAGTTACCACCACACTGCAAAGCAGCTCTTTGGTCCCTCCTATGTTTGGTCTACTCCTGTGTTCTATATACTGCTCCTGTGTCATAGTCTTGGGGTGTGCAAACCTGATTGTTTGGGGTCTCCTTACAGAGCAACAGAGAGAATGAGTTCTACAGCAAACTGGCTCAGCTGCACCTGGAGAAATACAACTTCCCTGTGGAGATGATCATCTGCCTCCCCAATGGCACGGTGGTATGGATGTGTAACCCTTCAGCTGGGCTTGGCTCTTCCCATTAGAACAGGTTCTCTGCAGGGTCACCCACAGACCCTGGAGCAAGTGTCCACTCCCCCAGCCATTCCCTGGCTCCGTGAGCCTGTGTGGGGCTGTGGTCCCTCATGGTATGGTGCTCCCAGGGATGGTGTGGCAGGTGGAGCAGGTCTGCCCAGAAATCTGAAACAGATCTCTGTTTATTCAGAGGCAGAAGAGCAGCAGCTCTGGGCCAGGGGGAGCAGCCTGAACCAGCCATCTGCCTGTTATTCCTCACTGTCCCTGCTTGGAGTCAGTGACCTTTGGGAAGCCATTGTAGCTTATTTCCTGCACCTCTGTGCTCATCTTTTGAAGGAAATCTCTGCTTGTCAGCACCTTCTAGCACATTTATCTTTCTCTTGATTCCCCAAACTTGTCCATGTGCTTTGGCTCTGCTGTGCTCCCCAGCAGCTCCATCTCCCCAGCCCTTGCTCAGTGCCAGATGATCTGAGCCTCCACGATTTTTCCCAAATTGCCTTTATCTTCCTTTTAACCTAAGCAAGGGATCAGCACTCTTGGGTATAGACAGAGACCATTGTCTGTCACACATCCTTCCCTGACTGTAACATGCAAACCGGAGTCCTGGATGCTGAATTAGCATTTGCAAAGCATTAGGGATTCTGTAAAAGCTGTTACAGCCTTGTCACCTCTGTCCTGGCTGGAGGCCAAGGCAGTGGATGGGGAATTGTTCTGGCCCTTAAAGTCCCCTCATTTGTTTTCTTTCTCAGGTTCACCATATCAATGCCAACTACTTCCTGGACATTACTTCTATGAAGCCTGAAGATGTTGAAAGCAGCATCTTTAGTTTCTCAACCAATTTTGAAGACCCTTCAACTGCAACTTACCTCCAGTTCCTGAAGGAAGGACTGCAAAGAGCAAAACCATACCTGCAGACCTAAAAACAAATCAGTGCCCCACAGAGACAGCCAAAGACTTCAGAGATCTATTTTGATTACAGCAACTCCTCCTCATCCTCATGCCAGACATTGATGTTGAGCTGCAGACAGTCCCAGGATGGGGCTTTGCTCTGGGTGTTGGTTTGAGGCTGAGTTTCAAGTGATACCAGTTTATATCACTTGCCCCTTTTGAGTTCAGGCAAATTTTTACAGGAGTGAAAATACTTGAAAACATTCTCAGTGCATACATCTAGGTCTGCCACACACCCTCATGTTTTTCCAGCTCCTGTTCAGACTCTGGTGAAACTGGTGTAACAGCATCCCCCAGAAACCCTGATCTGCAGGACTGGACTGTTGCAGAATCAGAGAGATCAGCATTGCCATTACGACCGAACACTCGTGGTGAGAGCAGAATCCAGTGCAGGTGGGAAGCTCCTCCTCCACACCTCCCTGCCAGCAGCAGCCTGAGCTGGAAGCTGCTCTGTGTCATGGATGCCAGCTCTTCACAACAGCATCATTGACAGTGACAGCCAGTGTGTGCTGGGACTGGAGTTGGGGTCATGCAATCACAAACATGGGAGCTCCCAACTGGAGGATGAGCTCTGGGGCAGCCTCCCAGCACCCTGTGTGACCTGCTGGTAGAGGGGTCTCACTTGTTCAGGTCCTGTGCACCTGAGGGAGGTGCTGACCCAGCACTCTGTGTGACCTGCTGGCAGAGGGGTCTCACTCGTTCATGTCCTGTGCACCTGAGGGAGGTGCTGAGGTTGACACAGGGACATTAGGAATGGAGAGATCAGGGTGTGAGAGGGATGGTGCAGCTCAGAGGTGTCAGGTGAGGTCAGGTTGGGGGGCTGAGAGCCAGAGCCCCTGTGAGCTCCACCAATGCAGTCCATGCACTCCAGGCTGTGGGACAGCAGTGAGCAATGCCCCCACCTTCATCCCAGGGCTCCCACCCTGCCGGCTGTAGGAGCTTGGTTCTCCCAGTGTCTCCTTGGAGCTGGTGCAATGCTCTGTCCATGCTTGCTCTGAGTTTCCAGGGTGACGAACCATGAGCTTCCCTTGGGGAACTGCCCTGAGAGCATTACCTGGTTGAGAACTGAGCAGCTCTAAAAGCTAGCAGTACTAAGGACATTTTCAGGACATTTTTTTGAAGAAATTGTTCAGATGTAAAGCCATTATCCCTTATCTGAAACCACCCTGAGCAGCTGCTCCTACTCTGTGCCAGTGCCTGGCTGCAGAGTGAGTGCAGTTGTGTAATTTGGAGAAGGAAAGGTTAAATGAAATGGGTTCTAAGGCATATTCCTACAGATCTGTGAGGAGACAAAGCATCTTCAGTAGCTGCTGTAGCCAGCCCTGCCTGGTGGTGCTTTTTCTGCTCTCTGAAGCACAATTTTGTTGGACCAAATCAAATCAAGGGAAAACATTCCTGAGCTCCATGTCCTGGGAGGAGCCTGGGGGTGAGTTTATTACCTTGTCCCCACCCTGCCCCAGCCCTCCTGTCTCTGAGCCTGGAGACTGAGCTTAGCTGGACCAGTGTCGCCTCTCTAATTGCTCTAGTGAGATTAATTACCCCAGGATGTTTCTCAGCATTGGCTTTATAACTATGCATTAGCTCTGCACTTTTCTCACACTCTGAGGGGCTGCAGTGTGACAGTGCCAAACCCTCCAGGCAGTGTTGGAGTCTTGTCACCCCGACAGCCTCATCCTCATCAGACTTCGATCCCTTCAGAGGATCCTACAAAGTCTTGGGGATCCCACAGTACCTTGTCTCATGAACCTCTGGGCCCTTGTGGCCACCTCTGAGTGCTCTCAGGAGAGTTGGGAAAAGGGGATTGCTCTAACAGTGGCAGAAGGAGTGCAAACAGGAGCAGCCTGGAGGGGGATCCCAAGGATCGGGGGGGGCTGCAGCGTGTCCCCATTTCCCTACTAACCTAACCGATCTGTCTCTGCCCACGGGTGGGCTGCGGACAGCAGCTCTTGCCTGAGGCTTTACTAACTCGTGCCAAGCGTTTGTCTCTCCCCAATTTGCTCTGTAAATTCCCCAGGGCTCTGTTTCCCTCGGG